GGCCCCCCCCCCTTCGGGGGCCCCCCAGTCTCCGGGGGCCCCCCGCTCTTCAGGGGGGCCCCCCTCTCCGGGGCCCCTTTTGCTTCCCGTGGGCATCGGGCTAATCGGCAAGCAAAGCCGCACTGACCTCCTCGATCCCCCCACCCACGTGAGGCCCTGCTGCTGCTGCTGCTGCTGCTGCTGCTGTGCGTCGCTGCGGCGTGAAGCTGCTGCGGAGTTGCAGCAGCGTGCTGCGGGGGCGCATTATTTGGCTGTTCGTCGTGTGCCTGCTGCGGCTGCTGGCTGCTGCTGCTCTCCCGCTGCTGCTGCGCTGCTGCTGCTGCTGCTGCTGCAGCTGTTCTTGATGACGCGGCAAGAGGAAACAGTGCGCTTCACCGAAGTCTACGAAGACTGCGTCCCTTCTCTCTTTCGAAACTTCTCTTCTCCAGTTCATTTTGCTTCTTCGCTGCCCCTCCAGGGCCTCGCCTTTCTTGCTGCTAATGACTCAGACCCTTTCAACAAGTGGGCAGCAGCACACAAACTTGCTGCTGCTCTCATCACCCACAAAGCCCGCCAAATGGCTCCAAAAACCGACCCCCAGGGGGCCCCCCACACCGGCCCCCAGGGGGCCCCCAACGGCTCCCAGGGGGCCCCCCAGGGGGCCCCCCAGACGGTCTCTCGAAGGGGCCCCCACAGGTCTCCCCAAAGGGGCCCGCTGGAAGGCCCCCAAAGAGACCCCCAGGGGGCCCCCAACGCCTCCCAGGGGGGCCCCCAGGGGGCCCCCAATGCGTCGCAGGGGGCCCCTGGCAGCAGCAGCGAAGTGTCGAATCTTGAAGAGCTTTTTGTGGAGGCAATGAGGAAGATAATTTTAGATCCTGGATTGGATGAGACTGTGAAAGTGAGCAGCGAACTTTTGAACTGAGCAGCAGCAGCAAAAGCCTTTTTCGAGACGCTCGCCAAGCTTTTTGCTCCCTGCTGCTGCTGCTGCTGCGGTCAAGCAGCCGCTGCAGCAACAAGAGCGAGGCTGCTGCCTGCTGCAGCAACGAAGCGACGCTGCTGCCCGCAGCAGCAGCAGCGCGTCTGCTGCCTGCAGCAGCGAAGTGGAGTCTGCTGGCTGCAGCAGCAAAGCAGAGTTTGCTGCCTGCAGCAGCAGGGCCTTTGAAAGTTTGTTTTGCTGCTGGTGCTCAGGCCTTGATTTTGCGGCTGCCGGATTTGAGAGAACTGGTAAAGACGAAAAGACCAGTGGACCTTTTGCTGCTGCAGCAGGCCCGCCGGGCTTTAGCAGTGGAGCTTGCTGCTGCGCTGCAGCAGGAACTGCTGCAGCTGTACAGACACCTGGGGGGCCCCACTGCGGACTTCAGCCTGCAGCAAGTTGGCCGCCGGCTGCTGCGCAACGAGCTGCTGCTGCTGCTTGCTGCTGCAGGAGACCGGGAAGCAGCAAAGCTGGCCTACAGCCACTTCGCAGCAGCAAAATGCATGACTGATAAAGCAGCAGCACTTGCTGCTCTCGCCAACATGCAGCAGCCCGAACGCGAAGCAGCTTTTGCTGCCTTTTACGCCCAGGCAGACGGTGAGACTGCCCCCACAGACACGCGCAGCAGCAGCAGCAGCAGAGCAGCAGCAGCAGTAGAGCAGCAGCAAAACAGAGCTACCGTAGCAGCAACACAGCAGCTATAGCAGCAACAGAGCAGCTGCAGCAGCAACAGAGCAGCAGCGGAGCAGCTGCAGCAGCAGCTCAGCAGCAATTTGCTGCTGTACTTTGGCTGCTGCTGCTGGTGGTTTACTGCAGGGAACCCTGCAGCATTGGACCAGTGGTTCGCGCTGCAGGCAGCAGCAGACCAGCCGCAGCAGCTGGAGCGGCTGCTGCTGCTGCTGCAGCATCCAGACTTTTCTTTCGAAAACCCTAAAAGAGTGAAATCTCTTTTCTTTTCTTTTTGGCAGCAAAACCAAATCCACTTCCACAGCCAAGACGGAAGGGGCTACAGCCTCTTCGCAGACGCCATACTCACCGTGAGCCCCAAACCCTAAACCCTAATCCCCAAACCCTAAACCCTAAGTTGTGGGCAGGCAGGGCGCCCGCTGGGGGCTTCAGGCGCAAAGTCTGAAGCTGCAGTACGGAGCAGACGCGGCGCCGGCCGGAGGCCCTAAACCCTAAACCCTAAACCCTAAACCCTCGGTTTTGAGTTCGTAGAGTGGCTGTGTTGGGCTTATAAAGCCGTAGAAAGGCGCCGCTTGAGTTCCGCTCTTTTAGGGTTTTGTTTCAATAAAAGAAAGGAAAAGAAAACCATTTCACCTTTTTGCTGCTGCTGCTTGCTGCTGCTGCTGCAGGTGGACCCCTTCAACCCCCCTCTTGCTGCAGCACTTGCTGAGCTGCTGAGCAGCAGCAAAAGCCACGGGCAGGTGCGGCAGCAGCTGCTGCAGCAGCAGCTGCAGCGGATAGCAGCAGAGCCAGATCTTTCGGAGAGCGTGAGGGAGATTGTCACTGCCTCCCTGCTGCCGCCACCAGACCCTAAACCCTAAACCCTAAACCCTCGTTGGCGGCGCTGAAGCGCGTTCCTGGCGGTAGGTTTTGCTTATTTATTTCCTCTATTTCGCACAATTAATAAAAGAAAAGCTGCAGCGGAAAATATCTTTTCTTTTTTTGTCCCAGACGAATTTGTTTTTAGTTGGCTTTGCGCTAAACTTGCTGCGCAGCTGCTGCTAGACTAGTGCTGCAGCAGCCCAAAGCAGCAGCAGCAGCAGCAGCAGCTGCAGCAGCAACGGCTGCAGGCCACGGCAAATCAAAACTCCTAAACAGGCTCGATGTCTTTGTGGAGCTGCTGCTGCTGCTGGGTTCCCCCTTGCAGCGCGCAGCCAGGAACTGCTGGCAGCAGCTCCTGCAGCAGCTGCTGCAGCAGCTAATTTGGGCTCTCCTTCTCGCTTTTATTCCCAGAGAACTGGAAATAAAGGCAGAGGAGAAACTCCAAATTAAAAGTTTGCTGGTGTACAGACACTTGAAAACGCAGACATTTCTTGTGGTCAACTAAATGGATGAAATAAACGGAAACGGATTTGTTAGTTTTTTTAATTTGTTTGTCTTTTTTGCTGCTGCCTTTAGCAGCTGCAGCAGCTCAGCTTTTGCGTCTCTTAAAGGATTTCTCGAGAAGCAAAAAGAGCAGAAGAGCTGAAGCAAAATGCAGCATCTGTGCAGCTGCGGGTTTTGCAAAAACGAAATTCTGCGTTGCAGTCCTCCACCTGATCCTTCCTTATTCTTTCTATGAGTTTATTTTCTCTGAAATTCCTAGAAAGCTGAACTTGGAAGCAAAAAGTGGAATAAAACCTGCTGCAAAAGCTACCTGCAAGCGCGGACATGCACGAAGCGGGAAAGCAGAAACTTGAAAATAGAGCGGCTGTCTGCGCAATTTTCCCCTACATAGACTTCAATTTAATTATTTCTCAAGTTCTTTGTGTTTAATAATTGTTGTTTCCAAAGATCTTCCAATTTTTCGGGTGTTTCCGCGATGTGCATCGAGCGGGAGTTGCGCATACACCCGAGCAGCTGCTAAACCCCAGCCCCCCAGATTCCCCCGTTTGCAAAAAGAAAGCCGAACGAAAGCAATTCAAATAATCTTTTTTTGAATTTTAAATGCAGCAGAAACTCTTGAGAATTAAAATGGGTCTTTTCTTTTGCGGTGGGACACCACTGCCTTTGCCGTCGAGTCTACTTCGTGGCGGCACCCACTAGGTGCGCGGCCGAAACCAAGACGATCCGGGGCTTAAACTTGAATTTTGGGATTTAGAACTTCAGTTTTATCTATTTAATATAATTATTTATGGATTTAAAAGAAATTTTCGAGAATATTCGCGCTTGTTTTGTCTTTGTTCGCAGCGGTTATCGCAGAAGACCAGCCAGCGCCTCCCTCCTCTCCAGCCCGGCTTCTTCCCCTGCGCTTTCCCAGGCCTCCTTCTTTTCCACATCAATTAAATTAATTTTATTTTATTTTTAAAACTCTTTAATTTGCTTTTCAGAATTCGCGGCCCTTCGCAGCTCGCCGCTGCAACAGCCCCAACACCCCAGAGCCTTTGCCCCAGCTCCCCGCCTCGCAGCACGCCTGACAGCTGGCTCCAGGTCCGCGTGCATGCTGCCTAGCAGCAGCAGCAGCAGCAGCAGCAGCAGCAGCAGCAGAATGCCTCCTAGCCACACGCGCACGAGGCCTCGCCGCCGTGGTTTGCGCAGCAGCTGGAGGCCCTGCAGCGGGAGAGACTTCATCTGAAGCAGCTGAAGGAAGCTGCTGCCCGGAGGCCTTCTCCCAGCAGCAGCAGCAGCAGAAGCAGCAGCAGCAGAAGCAGCAGCAGTAGCAGCAGCAGCAGCAGGTCAAAATCCTCTGGCTGCGAAACGCAGCCGCAGCCCCGTGTCTTCGGCGTGTGGGGAGGCTGTGGAGCAGCAGCAGCTGCAGCACAGGAAACTTTTGGGTTTCTTTTGCAGCAGCAAAACAGCAGCAAAGCAGCAGCAAAGCTGCAGCAGCAAAGCAGCAGCAAAACTTTTATTTCTCTCAACAGCAAAAGCCTCCGCATGCCCCTCGCCGGCCTCCACGATCTTGCTGCTGCGCGCTGCTGCGGGCGCACTCCCCAACGGCTGCTAAGCCCCCAGCAGCGGCAGCAGCAGCAGAAGCAGCAGAATAACAAGCAGCAGCAGCAGAATAAGCAGCAGCAGCAGCAGGGGAGGACTAGACTGGATGCTGATGCGAAGGCAGGAAGCAAAGCAAAGGGCAAGAGCTGCAGCAGCAAAGACAAAGACACAGAGCAGCACTTCGAAGAGGGGCCCCGGAGACAGGGGGGCCCCCTAGCTGCTGCCGCGGGGTCCAGCTGTACGTACACCCCAGACACAGCAGCAGCAGCAGCAGCAGCAGCGGGAGAGGGGGGAGAGGCTTGCGGGCCAGAGAAGCGCTTTTGTGCACTTTTGTACTGCGGCAGGGGGCCCGTAATGGGCCCCGGGAACACTCTGTACCCTCCCTGCTTCCCGGGGCCCCAGGGGGGGCCCCAGTCCCCGTTTTTAGCTGCTGGGGGCCCCCGGGGGGCCCCCCGGGGGCCCCTGGAGGACCCCCTGGCCCCCTTTTCAACCGCTGGGGGCCCCCAGGGGGCCCTTTCGGAGCCAGAAAGCGAAGGCACTGGCGAGTCTTGGGACCCCAGCCGTCCCTACCCCTCAGCAGCAGCAGCAGCGTTGCCGTGAAGCTGTTGCTGCTGCTGCTGCTGCTGCTGCTGCGTTGAGGTGTAGGTACAGCCCAGCCGTGTGTGCGCGCGTGGTCACCTGCGCGCCGGCAGCCGCGCGAGCCGCTGCAGCAGCCCAGCCGGCGTTTAGACACGAATTTGTTTTAAAATTACTTTTTAATTTATTATTTGTTTTTTTATTTATTTGCTTTTGTCGCTGAGTCCGCGCCGCGGGGCTGCAGCGGCGCGGGCGGCTCTGCGGCTGCGCGCCGGTCGGACACCTCGAATGCCTCTCAGGAGCTCTCGGGGGAGTTTCGGGCGCTCAAGTCGATTAAATAAATAAATTAATAGTATTATTTCTCATTTATAATAAAATAAGAAACAATAATTCGTTTCTTTTCGCGCTTCTCCCCGGATCCGAGCGCGGGCGCTGTGGTCCGTCCGGTGGTGTGCGCGGAGGACCTCTGGCTCGAGGCCGCGAGGTAGGCTCGCTTTGAGACAAACGGAAAGAACTTCATTGAATTTGGAATTTAATTTAAATTCGAATTTAAATTTAAATTCAAAAATGCGAAAAAACTGACGCAAAAAGGACCTCGACAGACAGCCGAGAGCCGCGGCTCCCGCCGCGCGCACCTTGAGGTCCGGATACACCCCACAGGGTGTACGTACACCTGCGAGTTTCATCTGTCTTCGCGCACTTTTTCGGCTTTTGCTTATCATTTTTGCTTCCGTTTTTGTGCCTTTTGCATCAAATTTTCCCTAAACTCCCCGATTTAGGCCCGAGCTTCGAGTCCCCTCCGCCCCTCTTGGCTAGCCAGCGTTTCCGGGTTGAATCTTGCCAGCGGCGCCTCTCCGGTGTACGTACACCCCAAGTTGTCTGAGGCGGCTCGAGCGCCCAGGGCCTTCCGTAGAAAGGTGCATTTCATGCTGCAGTGCTTCAGCAGCAGCCGCAGCAGCAGCAGCAGCAGCAGCAGCAGCAGCTGCGGTGTACGTACACCCCGTGAGGTTCTGGATCTCGCCGCACATTGCGGCCTGCAGCAGCTCTGCAGACTCCGTTGTTGCTGCCTTTTGTTGGTTTCTGAGATTCCTGAATAGTTTTTACTTTGCTGCTTCTGCAGGTCTGCAGAAGTGTCCCAAGCTTCGCTTCCTGCCTTTTGCTGCAGCTGCTGCAGCCGCTGCACCTGTGCTGCTGCAGCGCAGCAGCAGCAGCTGGCGAAGCTCCCAGGGCCCCCAACGCCGCCCACAGCCCCGGGGGGCCCCCCCAATGGCCTGCTTCCCCCCCGCCCGCGGGGGGCCCCTCGAGAGGGGCCCCTCGGGTCTGTACCCTCCCTTCGAGCTGCCGCAGCTTGCTGCTCCCCTCAGCCAGCTGGGGGGCCCCCGCCCCTGGCTCTTCATCAGCAGCAAAGGGCTGCCAATTTGCTGCTACAGTTGGGACCTCCCAAACCCCACAGCTGTGGTGGTTTTGGTCCACGGCTACGGGGCCCACTGCATGTTCGAGTGGCTGCAGTCCGCGCCTCCTGCTGCTGCTGCTGCTGCTGCTGCTGCTGCAGCGGGGGACGCCGCCGACGAGGCCGCCGGAGATGCTGCTGCTGCAGCCGAGGACGGCGGCGCCGAAGCAGCTGCCGCGGCGGCCGAGGACGCCAGCTCCGAAACTCCTTCTGCTGCTGCTGCTGCTGCTGCT